TCCTTTCTACTCTTCCTTTTATCCTCTTCTATCCATCTGCCTGTCTATTTGACTTTCTGTGTCCAAATGATCTATCTATCTGTGTATCTATCTATCTATCTATCTATCTACATTTCTAACTAATTTATCTTTCTTCCTTTCTAGATAATCTATCTTTCTTTCTTTCTTTCTAACTATACTATCTTTCTTTCTAATTAATCTTTTTCTTTCTAACTATACTATCTATCTTTTTAACTGATCTATCTTTCTTTCTTTCTAACTAATCTTTCTTTCTTTCTTTCTAACTAATCCTTTCTTTCGTCATTTCAAATCCATCTTTCTTTCTAACTAATCCTTTCTTTCTTTCTTTCTTTCTTTCAAATTCATATTTCTTTCTTACTAATCCTTTCTTTCTTTCTTTCTTTCAAATCCATATTTCTTTCTAACTAATCTATCTTTCTTTTTTTCTTTCTATCTTTCTTTCTTTCTTTTTCTTTATTTCTATCTATCTATCTATCTATCTATCTATCTATCTATCTATCTATCTATCTATCTATCTATCTATCTATCTATCTATCTATCATTCTATCTTTCTTTCTACCTAATCCATCTTTCTTTCTTTCTTTCTTTCTTTCTTTCTTTCTTTCTTTCTTTCTTTCTTTCTAATAATGCATCTTTCTTTCTTTCTTTCTTTCTTTCTTTCTTTCTTTCTTTCTTTCTTTCTTTCTACCTAATCCATCTTTCTTTCTTTATTTCTTTCTTTCTAATAATCCATCTTTCTATCTATTTTTCTGTCTTTCTTTCTTTCTTTCTACCTAATCTTTCTTTCTTTCTTTCTTTCTTTCTTTCTTTCTTTCTTTCTTTCTTTCTTTCTTTCTTTCTACCTAATCCATCTTTTTTCTTTCTTTCTAATAATCTATCTATCTATCTATCTATCTATCTATCTATCTATCTATCTATCTATCTATCTATCGTTCTTTTTTCTTTCTACCTAATCCATCTTTCTTTCTTTTTCTTTATTTCTAACAATCTATCTATCTATCTATCTATCTATCTATCTATCTATCTATCTATCTATCTATCTATCTATCTATCTATCTATCTATCTATCTATCTATCTATCTATCTATCTTTTTTTTCTTTCTACCTAATCCATCTTTCTTTCTTTTTTCTACCTAATCCATCTTTCTTTCTTTTTTTCTACCTAATCTTTCTTTCTTTCTTTCTTTCTTTCTTTCTTTCTTTCTTTCTTTCTTTCTTTCTTTCTTTCTTTCTTTCTAATCCATCTTTAAAACTTCATTCAAACTTCAAAATTCTTCAAACGCTCTGGTCTGGTCTTTCTCAAGCCAACTTAAAGTTTGTGTCATCAAACTTTTTTTTCTAGTTCTAGATGCCGAAGTTGGTGGCCAAGAAGTCACAGTTTTTTTTACTGCTGTTGTTTATGTAAAACATGTTAGTTATGTCTAGCCTGTTTTTACGTAGCCTATGTGGTTATCAGGTTATGGCTAAGATGTTACACTTGTGTGTTTTTATGATGGTAGCATTTTAATGTCTAATGCACACAACGTGATTTATAAGCTGGGGCATTCCATGCACTTTTATGATTCATGCATACAGACACTATGACACTACATTCAGTCTCTCTATCTCACACAGACTCACTCACACAGACTCACACACACACACACACACACACACACACACACACACACACACACACACACACACACACACACACACACACACACACACACACACACACACACACACACACACACACACACACACACACACACACACACACACAGTGTACAGCTTTATTTGAATGAAATTAATGTTTTGAGCAGGTTCATATATTTTTCATATCATTTGTAATCATTATTTTCAAAACTATTATGTATACTGTTCAATTTATACTGTTAAATAATAAAATACAAGGTTAAAAATATTTTGGACTGGCAATTTAAGTAAAAATTAACAGAAACAATCTTTCCATCATTAACCGTCATTTCCACCACTTTCCACCACTACACAGTTTTTAAGTAAAAACATAAGAATAACAAATTATGTGGATCTAAATGTATTTTAAATCAAGTATTAATAGTTCATTACTTACAATAAATGTGTGAGTGACTTTAAAAAATAATCATAGACCTGAGCAAAAATGAAATGCTGTAGGCAAAAAATCCCAACTCGTGGCAACTCGTGGCATTTAACAACTTTAAATGGAAATGTATTAAGTTCATGAAATATTAAGATTTATTTTGTTACATGATTAGGTAGCCACTGATGTTGTTGACTGATACATAATCTTATATAATCAGTTTTACAATATTATATTGTAATAAAATACATAAATTGAAAAGTGGTGGAAATGACATCTTTGAAATTGCTCTTCAGAAAAACTGTTAAAAATAATAATATTCCATGGAATTCTAAAACTGCCCACTATTATATTGTGTTAGAAAACAAATTAATGAAGCTAGGAAGATTGTTTTAAGTGTGTTTTAAGAGAGTGAATTTTCCAAAAACTCACAGTGCCAAAAGTGCTCCTAGTTGGAGAATCACATATGAACAAATAACGGATTATGTTTCCTGTTTCCACTGTTCACACACACACACACACACACACACACACACACACACACACACACACACACACACACACACACACACACACACACACACACTCAGTTCAATCGCACCTCCCTCCCCCTCCTCTCTCTCTCTCTCACACACACACCCCAGATAGCAAACTGACATTGAATCAACGTGGAAATATGACATCGAAACAACGTTGATCTGACATTGTTTTGCTCATCGAATTAACGTTGAACCAACGTCAGATGCGTCATTCTTTCAAAACTAACGGAAAATCAACTTGAAATCAACGCGTTGTTTCAACGTTATGAAAGCAAACCAATTTTCGATTTCATTTAGCTTTGAAGAATGCCGCGTCTGACGTTGGTTCAACGTTAATTCGATGACCAAATCAACGTTGTTTCAATGTCATGAGAGACGTCGTTTCCACGTTGATTCAATGTCAGTTTGATGCCAGGCAGCGGCTTCAGAAGTGCACACGCTCAGAGGGAACTTCAACACACACTTCGACGTGCACGCCTCTCTCTCTCGTGCGCACGTACACACACTCCAGCTTGAGAGAGAAAGAGGCGCGCGCGTCGAAGTGTGTGTGTGTGTGTATGTTAAAGTTCCCTCTGAGCTCGTGCATTTCTGAAGCTGCTCCCACGCAGAAAATAAGAAAATACCACGAAGAGGACTGACGCGAAATGTGTGGAAATGTGGGGGGGGGGGGGGGGGGATTAGGGGGCAATGGCCCCCCAAATGTATTTTATGCCCCCCAATTGAATTATGATATAATTTACAAAATAATCAGTTTAATTTAATTCACATTTCAGTAAAAATAGTACAAATATGTCTAAAAACGGCTCAATTAGCTGAAAATACAATAAAGCCAACATAAAAACCACAGTGTGACGCTGTGAGGAAACCCCCCTGCCGCCCCCCAATCACGTTAATACTTGAATGAAATGATTTTCAGTTGGTGCGACCGCGCAAGCTTCCTGGCTGCAATCAAAACAAAGCAAACTGATGAAAACTCTCCAAAAATGGACATTAGAAAATGGTTCAATAACAGTTTCTCCTTGCACATCGATTAACGATTCTGCTGATCCCATACAGCAAGACAGCCCGGCTACCGGGTACCCAATGTAAACCAGACATTGTTTCATAAGCAGGATCCGCTTTCATTGAAATATCATTAGAGGAACTCACCGTCGCATTTCGCAGGCCCGCAGTAATGGCGCCAGGCAAGATGGCGCCGCCCATAGAGTTCGCGGCGGATTGGTGTACGATTTTCACTGTTTGCTGTGCCTTAACGAACATATGCAAAAGTGTTGTTTGAGTGCCTGTTCATTACTTTTTTTTATTTCATTGAAATAAATGAAACTTGATATGGCTTAAAAATATTTATTGAGAACTGAAATATATAGGCAATATATTTGGACAACATAAGTTTCATGGACAACATACCCAGAGAGCAAACTGACATTGAATCAACGTGGAAACAACGTCTCTCATGACATTGAAACAACGTTGATTTTGCTCATCGAATTAACGTTGAACCAACGTCAGACGCGGCATTCTTCAAAGCTAAATGAAAATCGAAAATTGGTTTGCTTTCATAACGTTGAAACAACGCGTTAATTTCAAGTTGATTTTCCGTTAGTTTTGAAAGAATGACGCGTCTGACGTTGGTTCAACGTTAATTCGATGAGCAAAACAATGTCAGATCAACGTTGTTTCTATGTCATATTTCCACGTTGATTCAATGTCAATAACAGTAAATATTAATACTGTTATTAGAGCAAAAGAACAAATATATTGATGTTACTTTTCCAAATACAGCTGTTTTGCACTTTGTGTGAGTTTGTTTCTGTAAGGTCCCTTTTCTTTCGCCTTATCTTTTTGCATTGCTTTACTTTCTTCCTTTTTTCTCGTATTCTTAGATCCGTCTCTGTCCTGCCAAAATAATAAATGCGCGAAAATTTAAGAGCTCTGGAATGTTTAGTCGTGTCTATGGGTTCTAAAGGCGTTGCCCCTGGTAACCGATAGCGTCTGCCGACCGGCTCAGACCCCGCCCAAATGGGCACGTGACTCCTCATTCTCAAAACTGGCGCTCAGCCAAACAAATTCAATAAGCAGAACTAACTGATATAAAACGATAGACTGTTACTTTACTAATTCTTGGAAATTTCAACCCATCATTTAACTTTTTTGATGAAGTTCTGAGTGACCTTATTCTAAAATGGAAAAAATAAATAAAATAAAAGCTGATTTCATGCAAGTTTGCATTTGTAGAGAATGTTTGTGTTTTCCCTGTCATTTATTAAGAAAAAAATGTTTAACATTTTGCAAAGGCAAAAGAAAAAGTAAAAGAAAAAAATATCACAAATGATCAAGACAAAGAAATTCATACATTAAAACAAACAAGTACACAGACATTTTTGGAGACAAGGTTTTATTTCTAATATTTTGTTTTTCTTGTAATCTCATTACCTCAAAATCAGAGAAGACAAAAAACAAAACTGAGTGACCAACCAAGCTAATGTAGTTTTATGGACACACGTTTAAATGCTGTGCTTATATACAAAGGAAAATATTTCACACCAAGCACCCATGTATGGACGGGGCACTTTACATTTTCACAAACCTGTTCTTATCCAAAAACACAATGTCTTGCTTTTCCTCTGTGATATTGAGGCACACAATGTTTTGAGGCATAAACAAACCAAGAGAAAAAAAATGACCAAACAAAAAGTTAAATAGACATCCCCCCACTGGTTATACACCACAAGTATATGCAAGCAGTAATTGTACAGTATCAACATGATGAAAGAAAATTCACTCAGCCTCACTCTTTAATCAACTCTCAAAGAATAAAGTCCTTCAGTTTTTTAACCTTTAGCTTCTTTTTTGATGCATATAAGGAAAACGTGCTATTTACAAAATCATCCTTCTGAAACTGAAGATTCAGTAATTGGAGCTAGTTTTCTCTGTGATTTATGCATTACCCTTTCATTTGAATGTTATCAAAAAAGAGAGGTACGTCATATTTACAAGGGACAACTTGAAATTGTAATTACTTGAGCAAAATGCAATGGCCAATGTGTATGTTTGCTGTATTCTGTTCCAACTAAAGAAGCAGATGTGTCGATTTCTTTAAAACGAATATGCACTACTAATGCACACGCACACATACACAGCAAAGTGAATGGAATTTGTTGATTTAAAGTTATTGGTGTAAAGCAGGGTCGCCGTGGCAACAGAGTAAGTTAAACAGCGCTCAGGTCCCTTCTTCTGGGATCTCACATTGGCCAGAGAAGTGTTCAGTCTCATCTGAGATTGATATCATTTAATCCACTTTGACCACACTGTAAATCTTGGTGACAAACCAAAAGCAGGCAAAGAATCCAATTGTACCTGGAAGAAAAAACACAAAACAGATTGAGATAATCACACTACAAAATATTACCTGAACTAATTTTCTCCTCTCTCAAAACAGCACATAAAGACTGTCTACAAACAAACGCTTTGAACAAAACATATCCCACAATTTAGCCATTCGTTTAAAATGAAAGAGAAAGAGTTAAAGCTGAACTCAAAGAGTTGATTGCACAGTGATAAGTGCTATTTTTAAAAGTTTCTTGCCGACATCAAAATAGTTGATAATGCCCATGCAAGAAATAGCTTTGTTCTGAAATATTTACATACTTATACTTATAAAAGAGTATGTCGAACTAGTTGATTGGCCAGTCACTTGCCCGCGCTGGCCAGTAACTGGCGATCAGCAAAACAAACAGCAAACGTCATACACAGTGTGGCGCGGCGCGAAGAGTGTCAATGTTACTTCAGGTTATTTATAACGTGTTAAAATGCCAAAGAACTACGAGGCTGGACATTCCTAGAGTCATGGAAAACACAGTACACCTGGTAGGGATGGATGGGTACCGAAACCCGGTATTAAACGGGGCTGAATTTTGAAAGACCGCTGTATCAATAAGCTCGGATGTCATTGTTATTGCTGTCGCTGGAGAAATACATGTAGGCTATCATTTATTATTGCTATAAAAAAAATTAACCATCTCGCTGAGTCGCCAGCCATGTATAGGCATATATATAATTAAATTAAACCAATTAAACCAAATCTCACACGGTGCAACACCTGACGGAGGACATAACTAAACATTCAAGTTATGGTTACACTTTAGATCTGTGATATTGGTAGGATTTTATTTTAGATTTCAGCTTCCAAAGATTATAGAATACATTTGAGGTAAAACCATTAAAAACTGCATTCTGTCTAGCGGAACATCCTTCCCATCACAGCAGTACAGTAGCACGCTGTCATTTCTCCTAAACTCAAACTTTAAAGGGGGGGTTGACTGCGATTTCACTTTTTTCATTTTAAATAGTGTGTAATGTTGCTGTTGGTGCATGAACGGTATCTGCAAAGTTGCAGCGCTGAAAGTTCAATGTAAGCAGAGATATCGTCTTTTAAAAATCAGGAAGTATAATTGCCTACAAAAACGACTCGATTGGGACCACAGCTGGGTTATGGTACGTCACTAACCCGCACATTTACAACAACCCCTCCCTCAGAATATGCAGAAAATGGCATGCATATATTTCTGAGGCACGTCGACTCGTCGAGTGTGTTGTTCACACAGCTGTCAGGTTTTCTGTGTTTTGGGCTTCCCATGGACACTATACTTCCTCAACAATGGATACAATTTATGTTTGATTATGTTCCTGAAAATGACGATCATAATCTAGCTCTCTGTGCTGCGCATTTTACGGAAGACAGCTTCCAGAATCTCCATGAGTTCAACTCCAGATTCAACAAGAAACATGAAGCAGTTCCGACTTTAAAACAAGAGGCAACAGTGTTGAGCCACAATCTGTAAGTAGGCTAAGACTTCATCATTTTAAATGTATTTGCATGTATAATTCTAGACGTAACGTTTGCCTTGTGTTTTATTGTTTTCAAATGCCAGCGCTGGCTTTATAGCCACTACTAGTTAGCCTATGCTATTTTGTGTCCCCGACAAACTCGTACAAACATTATGGATCTTAATTTTCTATAAGTACTAATGTTTTAAACGTATTTTTCATGTATATATGCTTTATGACGTTATTTTCGATTTGATCATCAAGAACGTAAACATGCCAACGCTGTTTAAGTATGACATTAGTAGCCAGTTGCTATTGTTGCCAGTCAGATGCTATTGTGTAAAACAAACGTGCAAAAAGTTAAAAAAATTTTTAGCAAATTATCATTCAGAAACGTTTATTAAGAGCCGTGTGTGGTGAGGTTCTGTTTGACTCTCTTCATCGCGGGTTTCTCGGTCTGATTCTGCCTCAAACTGATACTGCAGTTCGACACATATTTACATTCTGGACCGGAGCTCACGTTCTGCCCGTAAAGGTAATGGGCGTTAAACCTTCCGGACAACGTGAGCGACAGTTTAGCCAATCACAACACACCGGGCCAAACTAACCAATCTGAGCCCACTACGTGTTTCTGAGGGAGTGTTTTCATAGAATCAGGAAGTCAACCGCTCGTTCAGGGGACAGAGGAGAGCGCGGCTGACAATAAAGCTGAAGTTTATGAAAAATAAGACTTTTAAAAAAAAGAAAAAACACGAATACATGTTATATTGCACCCCATAAATACAATTATGCAAAGAAAAAAAGCAGTCAACCCCCCCTTTAATACAGAATCAGCATGATCGGTGATTGTTGTAAAATGCAGTCACTTCTGTTGCTAAATTGCGGGGCGTGTTTAATAATAAAAAGAGCTATTAAAAGCACAAAAATCGGCGCAAGATATGCTGTTCCCAATGTGGCGCGCGCTCCGAAACAGACCGCAACGAGACAAGTATATACTTTGGGCTTCATGTCTAAACGATCAAAAGTACACAAAAATGTGTCAAAATGACTGGCTTGGAGATTCACTTAAACTTTAAAGTTTGTCTAAAATGGACGCAGTTATGGAAATAGTTGGGAGAAAATATGGTGCATCAGTAGTAGACTTAGATCTGCACTCGTTCTTAAAGGGGAAGCAGTCTAACATGCGGACGATTGCTCACTCACTGCTCTTGAATGAATAACTTTAGCTTTAATAAGTAAGATGAGGAGACTGAGGGAAAAAGAGAGAGAGTGATCAAGATGAGGAGAGAGCATGTATTGACAAATAATCTACTGGACGCTAAAATTAGGTTATTTTTGCATGTCTCCAGGGTCTCTCTCTTAATTCCTGAACTTCCTTCACTGTTTTGATTAATCCTAATGTATACAGTAAATACAGTTTAAAGGAAAAGTGCTTTTCCTTGTATTTCTTTCAGGGCCAGTCAAAATATAGAAGGGGCCAGCAAAACTCTGATCTACTGGCCCTGGGGGCCAGTGGGGATTTTTTTTTTTTTATGTTGAGCCCTGTTATGATGTTACACTAAAATACTGTATGTTATATGGAAAAGGATGCTTTATTGCCATTTTCCATGACCTTTCTACTCTTTGACACAACAAACGTCACGTCACGCATCCCTAGAGTATTCCACATTTAATCTCACGAAACACAGTCACTTCATGCCTACAGTCTGAACAAGTGTATAGTAGCACAGCTAACTAATGTTGACATCGTTCAGACCAGTGGTTCTCAAGCAGGGGTTCGGGACCCAATAGGGGTCTCTACAAACTTCCAAGGGGGCCTCAGAATGACTTAAAAGCAGAACGCTGATTCTTACTCTCATTTGGCCCAATGAAACTGTGTCAGTTGCCAGTGGCAATTTGTTTTAATTCTAACAATGCATTATTGTGACAATGTGAATACGAACAAAAAGTTAACGACACTCGAATATGAGAAAGGGAATTTGTTACTCGCACGATGTGTAGGAAGTTTAAATATCTGGAACCTGACCTGTTAGTTATTGTGCTTAGTACTCTCTTTCATGCCTTCATGTGCTTGAATGGACAAATTTACAATGCCTGTCTCAGCAAGTATCCTAGTAAACGTGGTTGGTTGTGTCTTAAAGGAATAGTTCACTTAATTTAAATGATGTCATCATTTACTCACTCTTAAGTTGTTTCAAACCTGTATGATCAGGTTTGAAACTGAAACAACTTGAGGGTGAGTAAATGATAGAATTATCAAGTGAACTACTCCTTTAAGTAAACGCAAGCAGAAAACGCAGGATTCTTCCAGCATTCATTCTTAAAGTGACAGCATCCAAAAAATCTGCTACTGTCTGGGTTTTTAATGATAATCAAACTTTTTCAAGTCGATTGTACTGAAATTCATGTTGGCAGTGCATGCACAAAACCATCATATAGTGATAAATATCTATCCAGTGTTTTTGTTTTAATCTCCTTATATGTTTTTCCCTGCCTCAAATCGAGCCATTCGCGATTGTTGATTGACAGCAGCGCTTCAACACATCACCGCCCAGAGCGAGCTGTCATCATAGTCTGTAATTGTTGATACACTGGAGCAGAATGGCTTATAAGCGATTGTGGTGTTCTGCTCTTGGGTGTAATAATGAACACAGCAGTCATTTTGATGTTCTTAAATCCGAACCGCTGAAGACGCAGTGGCTAAGTTTTGTTTTTGAAGGGAATATTCCCCACGAGCAATGTCAATGCTTTCATGTTTGCGCGAATCATTTCTCAACAGACTGCTTTGTAAATGAGGGTCAGTATAAAGATGTCTTTGCTAAGAAGCTGCTCCTGAAAAAAAAATTGGTACCAACTATTCTTATCTTTGCTGCACCTCAAGAAGAAGTGAGTGTAAAGTTTTATTAACCTTTATATTAATCGCATGCTTCACAATGAATGCGACTAAGGTTTACACTCAGTTTCCTATGAACGACATTCTCAATATAATCCATAATCCCACTTTATATTGAACAATGCGTTATGGTTATTGTGTTATCACAAATACACATCAGTAAACGCACAGCGTTCGTACATCAAGTTACTCTACCCTGCCAGTACACAAAGATAGATCTAAGTGACATTACGTTAACCAACCATTCAGAAACGTCTTGTTCGAACGAGGGGCGGAGTGAGCGAAGCTCATTATCATTTAAAGGCATATGCACTGAAACGGCATGAAACGGCAACGGCATGCTGAAAATAGAGCTGTTTTTGACCAGGTAAAATTTGTGTTTTCTTACAATACTAATGAGAATTTTTAATTAAAGTATATTGCAAACTTTTCATTTAGACTCTAAAGAATCAAATTAACTCGCATGAAAATGGCATTATATGAACCCTTTAAAAAAAGTTTACTTGGGCTTTAGCAAGGCTCTATATATAGCAAATTACACTGTAAAATTTAACTAATTAAATTATCTGCAGCACAAATGTTTGATACGTAATATGGTTAAAGAAAATAAATGCATAAATAAACAGACTACTCTCAAAATAACTAGAATTTAATGCTTTGGTGCATCCCCCGTAAAAAATAACCCTGATGTGGCCTGAGCAGAAATTGAGTTCTAGACTACTGCTCTACACCCACACACACACACCTGTAAAGAGGAAGAAGATGAGCGCCATGATCATGGTGTAGCCAAAGTAAAGAATAGTGCTGGCGAGTCCACTGATCTGTAGCTTAGAGAAGAAGTAATGGATGGCATAGACCAGAAAATATACAGCTGTGAATCCGCTGGTCAGGAAGGAACGCCACTGCCAGTGATAGTCCTGAGAGATGACGCACACAAAACAAATAAATAAAATAATTCACAATTCTCCAAAATATGCATATGGTCACGTGTATGCACTGTCACCTCAGCACACAGGTGGAAGTAGCACAGGAGGATGGTGGCCTCAGAGCAGGTGATGACCAGGATGATGAAGACCAGGAAGAGAAATCCAAACATATAGTACATCTGATGAGACCTGCAACATCAATGATTTACATTGGTTTGCAAACTTGTTTTTTTTTTGTCTTGGTTTATTGGTTTTGTGGTCTGTTATTCATAAAGCCATATAGAACAGGAGTCAAGTCAAGTCACATTTATTTATATAGCGCTTTTCACAATACAGATTGTATCAAAGCAGCTTCACAGTGATAACATGAAAGTAGTACAACACAGATCAATAATAATTGTTAAATATTAAATATTAACTAACCCCGACTAAGCAAGCCAAAAGCAAGGCAAAAGCAAGGTGACAGTGGCAAGGAACCAAAACTCCATCAGATTGGATGGAGAAAAAAACTTTGGGAGAACCCTGGAGTACTGAGTAACCATTAATATACTACTTTTCTTAAATTGCACCATGAACGTCACATCAGCACTGACCAGATGCTGTTAAGGATGAAGAACAGCTGGATGAAGATGCAGCCAAATGGCAGGATTCCACCCATGACAATGCCAGGAAGAGGTTTAGTGTAGAAGGACTGCTCTGGAATCTGTCTGGGGATCTGATTGGTCCTTACGGGATGTTCAATACCCTGAATTTAAACAAAAAGTACACATTTATATCTTCAATGAAAACAGAGAATTATGGAAAAATTGGTGGTGTCCTGGATTATTTGACAACAAACAAAATAAAAATTTAAAAAAGGCTTTTGGGAAACAATCCTTACGCTTTTCTTGAAACCGAAGTATGCTCCGATAAAGGTGAGGGGCACAGAGATACAGAACCACAGAGCCAGGATGGCTACCAGAGTGCCAAATGGCATGGCAGCTGATGAACCCTCACCCCACAAAATCAGATTCATTACGAAAAAATCAGCAAACACCACCCTGAACAAGCGTTAAAAATAATATTATCAACAACAAGCCACATTTAATTAAGCTACATGTCAAAACCCAAGACTTAAAAGTGCAAGTTCAAAATTTTGTATCTTCCATAACTTTTATAATTATCTTTCATAATCTTCCATAACTGTTACATTTAACAGTATAATTGCTAAATGAAATGAAATTATGGATTTCTGATTTACCCACCCTGGACAGAGGAATGCTGTCAACAGAACATTGGTCTTCCACTTCTCCCCACCGAAGGCTGGAAAAAGTGAGAGAAACCAGTTGACCTCACATTTTAACAAGGATACAAGCCAAATATTAAACCACAAAGAAGAAATACGGTCAACAAAATACTATAGTGCTGTATTCAATAAAGGAATTTGCTTGATTTGTTAACAACAATGACCAGAGTTCATGTTGTTTCATTATGTGGTGAGGGGGGCGTGGTTTTCACGTTGTCTGTAGTGAGAGACGAGTCAATGAGCGGCGCGGTGAGTAAATGGGTCAAGTGCAGATGATGAACACCTGTGTCTGGTTTCAGTGATTGGAGTGGGGAGACCGTTAAAAGCCACATCGTGGAGAGGACGGGGGAGAGAGAGCTGGCTGGAACTCATGCCGTGACCTGAGAAGCTGAAACTAAAGTGAAAGTCGTCCGACATGAGAAGAGTTTTGTGTATGAATGTGAGCTGTAGCAGTGCTACGGTGAAGGTGCTGTGTGCACGCCTTTTGTTTTGTCCGAATCTGAGTAAATAAAAACTAAGCACGAGTTCCAGCACCGCCGACCCGGTCTCCTTCTGCCTACTTATTTAAACCTTGTTTACACTGGTGCCGAAACCCGGGAAGAAGGAGGCTGCCGCTGCCATGCAGAGCCCGTCAGGATCGCCATTTGCGGAGATCATTCAATCACTCGCGGCTATGCAGAGAGAACAACATCAAGCCCTGCTGTCCATCAAAGAAGAGCACGAGCAGCGCTTCAAAGCGCTGCTCCAAGGCCAGCAGGAAGACCGCGAGTTGTTCCGGAGCTGTTTGGACCAGGGGACTGTGGCCACCCCCTCTGCAGCATCGGCCTCGGCCATCTCGTTGTCCAAGATGGGCCCACAGGACGAGCCGGAGGCATTCATGGACCTGTTTGAGAGGACAGCCGAGGCCCGGGGGTGGCCCAAAGCGGACTGGCCGCTGCGGCTCATCCCACTGCTGTCAGGGGAATCGCAGATCGCAGCCCACCAACTGCCGGTCTCCAGTCTCCTGGTCTATCAAGATCTACGGCGCGCCATTCTGCAGCAGGTCGGCTGGACTCCTGAGCAACATCGCCAACGCTTCCGGTCCCTGACCCTCGAAGAGTCCGGCCGGCCCTTCGTGATGGCGCAACAGCTCCGGGACTCCTGCCGCAGATGGCTGATGGCCGGGGGAAGCGACGTCGAGGACATCATCGATCAGGTGGTACTGGAGCAGTTTATTGCGAAGATGCCAAAGAAAACAGCTCAATGGGTCCAGTGCCACCGTCCGACATCGCTGGACCAGGCCATCCAACTGGCGGAAGATCACATGGTGGCGTGCTCGGGGGTCGGCGAATCACCATGTGATCTTTCAGGTCTCCCTCGGAAAAGAGTCTCAGTCTCAAGGGACTTCCTGGTTAAATAAAGGTTGAATAAAAAAATAAAAGGTGCGGTGTGTGCACGGGGTGATGGTGAGTTATCCCTTAATGTCTGTAAAAATTTTATTTAGGGGACAAAAGCATAGTGTGGAGGTAGCAGTTAACCCGCACCTCCAGCATCCGCTAATTTTGGGGACGGATTGGCCGGGTTTTACGGAATTATTGCATTTTTTATGTGCGCATGCCTCTTGTGGGGAAAAAGCAGCCGGGGAAGACAGTGGTGATTCAGGTAGGAGAGGCTGTACCGGGACCTCTGGGTGCTGCGGCAGGGGAACAAAGCACTTTAGAGAGAAGTATCATCTCTGAGCGCGATGATTTTCCCCTGGAGCAGTCCCAGGATGAGACGCTAAAACATGCGTTCGATAAGGTCCAGTCCATCGACGGTCAGCTACTCCGCCCGAACCAACTGCTTTCTTTCCCCCTATTTCTGCATGATCAAAGATAGGTTGTATCGGGTGACCCAAGACGCCCAGACAAAGGAGGATACAACCCAGTTATTAGTACCAAGGAGCCATCGGGAAATGCTTTTTCAGGCGGCTCACTGTAATCCGATGACCGTATGGACCTCATCGGGCCATTAGAACGGTCAGCACGAGGGTATCGTTTTGCGTTAGTCTTGGTGGATTACGCAACACGGTACCCGGAGGCAGTTCCGCTTCACAATATCTCAGCTAAAAGTGTGGCAAGCGCACTGTTTTTGTTAATCTCCTGGGTGGGGATCCCTAAGGAGATCCTTACCGATCAGGGCACAGCGTTTATGTCACGAACTGTTCGCGAACTTTATGAATTATTGGGCATTAAATCGATTTGAACCAGCGTTTATCACCCACAAACAGACGGTCTGGTCGAACGGTTTAATCGGATGTTAAAAGCCATGATTCGCAAGTTCGTTCACGAAGACGCCAAAAATTGGGATAAGTCGCTGGAACCCCATTTGTTTGCTGTACGCGAGGTTCCCCAAGCCTCCACTGGGTTTTCCCCTTTCGAGCTCCTTTTTGGTCGCCAGCCACACGGGGTATTGGATGTACTGAGGGAGACTTGGGAGGACGGACCACCCGCTGGAAGAACGAAATTCAGTATGTCCTGGACCTGAGAACAAAACTCCACATATTGGGGCGGCTATCTTTGGAGAATTTGTTACAGGCCCAGGACAGACCGAGACAGCAATACAATAGGGGGGCTAGACTTCGTCAATTTGCACCGGGAAATAAGGTCCTTGTATTACTCCCACGTCCAGCTCAAAGTTACTCGCAAAGTGGCAAGGGCCGTTTGAGGTCACACGGCGAATTGGTGATCTCAACTATGAGGTAGTTCGAACAGATAGGGGCGGGGGACGTCAGATTTATCACCTCAACATGCTTAAAAAATGGGTTGAGGCTGAGGCAGTGATGCTGGCGACGGTGGTGAGTGGAGAGGAGGACCTCGGGCCAGAAGCGAATATCAAACAGCATTCATTCGCTCTGGCTCCCTCTGGCGACCACCTCTCACCCTCGCAGCTCACTGACATCAAAACCCTCCAAGCAGAATTTGCAGAAATTGTGTTCTCGTCCCTGCCTGGTCGAACGAACCTCATTCAGCACCACGTTGAGACGGAGCCGGGGGTCGTAGTATGTTGCCGCCCGTATCGTTTGCCGGAAAACAAAAAGAAAATAGTTCAGGCCGAATTAGAGACAATGCTGGACATGGGGGTAATAGAAGACTGCAATAGTGGCTGGGTGAGCCCGATAGTTTTAGTACCTAAACCTGACGGCTCGGTTCGGTTCTGTGTGGATTATAAAAAGGTGAACGCGGTGTCTAAATTCGATGCGTATCCAATGCCGAGGATTGACGAATTGCTTGATCGGCTAGGTTCTGCTCGCTTTTATTCAACACTGGACTTAACGAAGGGGTATTGGCAGATCCCCTTATCTCCAATACCCAAGGAAAAAACAGCTTTTACCACACCGTTCGGATTACACCAATTTGTCACGCTTCCGTTCGGGTTGTTCGGGGCACCGGCGACTTTTCAGCGTTTGATGAACAGATTTCTCCGGCCGCATGCTGCATATGCTGCTGCGTGCGGTGGCCGACTTCCTCTCCAGGAGGGGAGGGCTACAGGCCGGACGGTTCCCCGGCCTGAGTCGGGCGGTGGGGGTATGTGGTGAGGGGGGCGTGGTTTTCACGTCGTCTGTAGTGAGAGACGAGTCAATGAGCGGCGCGGTGAGTAAATGGGTCACAAGTGCAGATGATGAACACCTGTGTCTGGTTTCAGTGATTGGAGTGGGGAGACCGTTAAAAGCCAAACCGTGGAGAGGGCGGGGGAGAGAGAGCTGGCTGGAACTCGTGCCGTGAACTGAGAAGCTGAGAAGCTGAAAGTAAAGTGAAAGTCGTCCGACGTGAGAAGAGTTTTGTGTATGTGAGCTGTAGCAGTGCTACGGTGAAGGTGCTGTGTGCACGCCTTTTGTTTTGTCCGAATCTGAGTGAATAAAAACGAAGCACGAGTTCCAGCACCGCCGACCCTGTCTCCTTCTTCCTACTTATTTGAACCTTGTTACACATTACTTTTACATTTAATAAGGTGCATAAAAAGGTATGTCCTAAAAATATGCTAGCATGCGTCTTATATCGCATACTACTTCTACGCTCTGGTTAATACATTTTACTTGAAATTAGAAAGTGTGGGAAGTGGAAATCTTTAGAAACCTCCAAACCAAACCAATAGGGAATTATCACGCTTCCGGGTTTCATGGGCGGGATTTGTCAACTTGTGCATGTCCACTTCCAATGCAGTTCAACAATGGCTGAGACGAAGGCTATATATGTCACTGCTCTGTTCCACTTTGTAAATCTGACCAACAACGCCAACCCTACTTAAGTTTTCATGGATTCCCGACTAAATTGAGTATAAGGAAGAAGTGGATTAAAACTTTAAAATAAAACAAGGTAGCATGTTTATTTGCAGCCAGCACTTTAGTAAATCAGACTAATTTACCAGGGATGACGTATAAATAAACTTAGTGTAGTCTGTCATCAGTTCGCCAGTGAGATCGGTAATTCAACAGAAGTGGCAGTGCACAAAGATCACTGAATCCGGAAGTACTACGTATCAGTGTGATAATCCCCTATTCTGGGAGTCATGATCCAATTGTAAAAGTATTCTTGATCTACATTTTTTTTGTCTTATTAATTAGTTTACTGACTTCAAATCTTAAATTTATTTGTAATTTAATTTATATAATTAAATAATTACTGATCGAGATACCTTTAATACTTATTGAGTTACAGGCATGCAAACTTGAGGGTTAAGGTTAGAAAAAAACAAAAAAACAAGTGCTTTTCCCCATTTTTGAACCATCACTGTTGGCATACAATGCAACAAAGATTGCTAGTCAAAACAGATTTTACTAATAGACCCGCCAATCTCTTTTGAGCCGAGTACCTCTGGTTGAGTTGACACTGAATTACCCTATAATAACTGTTAAAAAAAAAAAAAAAAAAAAAAATTCTACAATCCTATGCATCAAGTTTGATGAAAAGAATCATAAAAATGATAGAACGATTAAAATGACGTAAATTCATAAATCTTCATTAATGATTTTTTTCTATCTAGAAGTATGCAGAGAGAAGACCAAGGGGGACCATTAAACATCTGTTGTATGACTGATGTTAAAACAGACAGAACTGAGCAGATGAATCTACAACTGATATCATAGTAAGACACGACAGGTCTGGAAAAAGAAGAGTAAGCTCTCATTGTAATCTGCACAAGCCGTCGAACACAACTAAAGCAAAAAAGCAGCAGGGGTGTGTATGCCTGCCTGTTCGTGTAGAGGGCTCCTTTGACACTAATTAAATCTAACGAACTGCAGACAGCCCAGATGAAGGGAGGATCAGAGGTCAAAGTTCAAACCTCTGCTGTGTACTTACATTTGTAGTAGCGGGCAGCCACATAACCAGCTGGAGTACCCAGCAGTACCCACAGCACCACCGCACATGTCATCAGAGCTCCACGATTGGCAGGTGACAGGAAACCCAAACAGGCAAAAACTACAGATCGAGAAAAAGGGGGAAAACATTGTAAAGTTCAGGGGTTGCAAAAATGTATAAAATTTGACACATTAAGTAATACACACTGATACACTGCATCAGCCATCACAAAGTAAAAACAACTTTATAATCCAAACATCTTACTACACTGGTATACTAGGCTCATTATATAAAAACATATCTTGGCTTTTTTATTGACAAGTTCTAAAGAAAAGTCAGTTTTAAAGAAAAGTAAACCAAGGAAAAACTGTATTCAATAATATCAATAAGGGCTTAACTTCTCTGCTACTGCTCAGCTCTCCATAAACTTACAAAGAGTAACAAATGTCATGATGAAGATTTGAGTCCCAGAGCCTAGAAACACAGACAGCAGCATGCCTTTCCTGGGAGGCCTGAAGACATCTCCGTGAACAAGTTTCCAGCCAAATTCCTCCTGGGCATCCTCCTAGAAAAGATGGAGTGGAAAAGCGAGGCTTTAACAATAGCAGGAGCTAACGGAATCCAGTTCAGGCGTGGGTTTTGGTCTACAGCCCAATTACGGCTCTCAGAGATCAAAGAAAAGTCTGCGGTTGCTGCTCTGACCAATGATACACTGTGTCACTCTCGATCTGTCCTTAATGAGTCTGATTTGTGTGGAGGGAGGAGGGGCCATGGTGAGACAGGAAGAGAGAAGACGTAAAAGCAAGAGATCGCCTGACCCTGCGTGACCTCCAACACCAGATGGGAGGAGCTAAATATACCAAGATATGAAGAGATTTGAATGCAAAGTGTGTGTATTTAAGGAGACTTATGTCAAGGGTGAAGGCCAGTGGCAGCACTAATGCTGGGCTTGCCAGAGCTATAGCCCTGTCATAACACCAGCACAGGATATCCAAAGATTTTCCTTATAATTTCTCTTTTTTTACCCTCAGTGTCACTATAAACAATTGTCTTGATGGGAGAAAAGTCAATTAGGCCTGCATTAGCGATCATTTTAAGTAGATTATCAACAGCAAACTATTTAACAATACTTACTACTTCATTTCGAACTGTGCACTTCAGATAAATCTCAAAATAACTGTCACATAATGTATCTGCCATTGGCTAACTTGCAAACCAAACACACTGAGTGCTCAAAAACTTGGCTGTACTAAAACATACAAGCGACACACTCATACACACATACGGTCATATGAGAGGACTGATCCCATATCAGACAGTGACATGATAGTTGTAGAGCAGAACTCACCACAGAGTCCATCTGGTTGTAGCGGGCGATGTCTTTATGGAGTGTTCGGAGCATGATCATAGCGACCATCCCCGAAAGGAAGAGCACAATGACCAGAGAGTTCATGATACTGGTGGCAGAGAACAGAACATCTGAGCATGGGTGTTTTATTTGCTAAACTACACCATGGGTTTATCAAGATATGGACCCTGAGCCAAATAACACCCTCAGTCCATGCAATCCAACTTAGGTGACAAAATGCAAAGGGGTCTGCATCTTTGGTAATGCAAACCTCAATGTAAGTAATGGTAACGGTAACAGACGTTTATTTATTGACCAGCTGCTGGCCATCACAATTACATATAGTCGCCAGTTGCTGAGAGTTCATTTTAAAACCCTAATTGTGTTCCAAGCACAGATGCTAGATGGCTTGTGCAGTGCAAACCATTTAATAATGGATAGTATGCAGTTAATGAAATACGTTTTACAGTTATTTGAAAATGCAGGGGGAAATCACATCCCAGGTAACACCACCAATTCCACCACATCGGAGAGTATTCTGCAGAAGATATTAATCCGAACGGATCACGGACCAATGAGGATCCGTTGCGCCACTACAGTGCACTAAAGATGCCTAGTAGAGTTGTACGCATGTTCAGTCCACACACATCGTGGTTATGGCGAACAGAGGACCTTGAACGTCCTGCGTCATTTAAATCCCCTGTATGGGTGCATTGTGGCTTCCCTGTCAAATATAATGATGAAGGAAAGAGGTTAGTGGATAAAACCATGACGTGTGTAGCCCCCTGTCCAGCGCAGCCTCAAGTTGGACACTCATTTTGTCCTTTTTGGAGTTGACCGATGCACTGAATTGGCACAAAAAAATTAATCTGTACAAATCCTGCATATTGATAGTGGCTCCCTGATGCCAGGAAATTAGTTAAAATCTCCTGGAATCTAGAGCACACTTGCGAGACAGAACATTCTGTGCTCCAAACCGTGTAGCGTGCACATGGCAGAGAGGGAGAGAGCGAGTGACCTTGTGTGTGTGCGCAGGTAAAATAAAGAGCATCCTGATTGGCCTGTTTCAGTAAGTCAACCAGTCAAAATTATTTTTGCTGATCCAAAAAATTATCAGATCTGTGACTCTGATCCGAGAAACTAACTGAAACATGAGTTTTTTGATACGTTGCACCCCTAGTGCACTGCAACAGCAAATGGGGACCTTGTAACAAGTCCGCTTTGAGTGTGTAATTTAGGACAGGGCCATAATATGTAGTGTGTGATATGTGCTCTCACCTGAACCACTGAATGTTGGTGTGTGGCATTGACTCAAGAATATAATCCCATCTTGAGGCCCAGCGAATATGTTTTTCCTCCTGCAAACACCAAACCAGCAGTTATTCAATAGTTCTGCAGAAACACTGACATAATAAAACACAACAAAGGGTCTCCAATCTCTTACAAGATAAATTACCTCTTGGTTAATAGAGAGAAGGAGCAGGGACACTGTTATGTACTGTATCAAACTGATTGTTGCATTCTAAACCTGGGGCCGAATTCACAAAGAATTTTATCTTACCACTAGGAGTACTCCTAAATCGCACTAAAATATTTTAGCTAGGAGTTTTCTCTTAAAAGTTAAAAAGTTACTCTCAGTAAAGAAAAATGACAACTCCTAAACTAAGAGTAAGTCTTCGTTGCTATGGATGACGTCAATTTTCATGCACGAGCTTCCTCGCAATGATCACGGTGATTGGTTGTTAGATGACAGGGCCATCATGCGGAACATAACACATAACAAATAATAGAATTACAACGTCTAAATATGTTTGTGTCCTACACAAAATAATAATAAGAAAAAAAGTAATGTCATCGAAATGCATAGGCTATATAATGACATGTTTGTGCAGGCCCCAGTGAAGTGTAATTCTAAAAAGGCAGAGAGAGAAAAGTCATGAATGATAGCCTATCGCATTCAAGGTAGCTTAAGGGCCTGCAGTGTTCACTTATCGCATCTTTTGCGCACTCAAGTTTATTTTAAATGTAGGCGCGCGATATGTACGCCCGTTTTTTCCAAGCGCGTCCGTATGGAGCGCACCGTAGGTAGCGTGACAAGAACCGACCGGAGCGCAGCCGCCGGGAGAATGCGGCGCGCCTTGCGTTTTTAGGGGCTATATGTGAATGGTGCCTAATAGCCTAATGAAAACCTTCACTTGCCTGATAATGAAAAACGACACTTGCATTAACACTTGCTTGGTTAATTGACATTCTTTTAGCCTAACTAGACTATTTAAAGCAAGGACATTTTGCTCCTATTGAAGTAATGTAATAGTTGAATGACTGTGGATTATGAACTCGCCAAAATGGAAAAGAAAGCTCAACTGGACACAGGATCAGTTACTGCTGCTGGCCCAAATGGTGCTAGAAAAAATTAAAAAAACATAATAAAAGTGAAATTCAGCACTGGGATTTCAAGCAAAACTAAGCATGAGACATGGGAGAGGATTTGTTTGCAGATGAATGCAGCATCCCCGCTTGTTTCGCGGACCCCGGACGACTGCGAGACTGGGACAGCTTCTTTTAAGCTGTCCCAGACTTAGGTGCTACTTAGGGCTAAAATGCTTTGTGAATTACTCTTAAGCCCCTTTCACACAGCGAGTTGATCCCAGGAAATTGCCGGCAAATTGCCAGAACGCCTTCTGTGTGAACGCAAACACGACCTGGGATTGCTTCTGGGATTGATCCCAGGTTGGGGACCTAGTAACATTGCCGTAATCAGTCCCGGAATGCGCGCTGTGTGAACAAAAGCCAGGACCAATGCCGTAAAGGGTGTGTCTTTAGTGATGACGCTCGTGCCATCGCGCGACTCTGTTGCTCTTAGAAGAAAGTTTGTGTTCGTCATCAACAAAGAAAGGACGAACAAATACCTGCAAACTAGGGCTGCACGTTTTCAAGTTTTTCATTAACCGTTAACCGAGGCCCTTTCGGTTAATACTCGGTTAACCTATAGTGTGCGCGCCGCAACCTCGAGATACAGAGTTAATTTTTAACACCTGTAATAACTGGTTGGACCCCATTTGAAACGAAATTAATTTATAGAAATAAAACGCAGTGGTGAGTTCAGAGCAGTTAAAGTAGGCGCGTTTCCATCACCCTTCAAACTGAAATTGCCAATTGAAAATACGCACATTGGCAACACGTCCATTTCGCAAAAACTCTGTGTCCGCAAATAATAATAATAATTATCATTATTGTAACATTTTATTGGCTGCATATGTAGAAGACGCTTTTATCCAAAAAAGGAGCAAAGCACAAATAAACACAATATTTTGACGCATATCCAGTGTGTGTGCTTAGTGTGGAGGCTGCGAGACGCCCATGTGAACACTTGCAGTTTCATTGCAGTTCTTTCAGTGGAAACAACTTAAAATAGTTACTCTTTCATTTTCTGGTCATACAGAAAATAATAATACATTATTCGCAAATACATTTATTTGCGTAAACTCACAATAACAAGAAAACGTTGTGCTTTAACAAACAGGCGCGCTTCATGATTTCCGTGAACTGAAGCGCGAGAACTGAAACAGCCGCATTCGAATTTGTTCGTTTTATATTGGACATTTAAAGCTTTGCTTTAAAAAAAGAACTCTGCTTTAAATGTTTAAAAGCTTTAAATGTTTTAAAGCTTTGCTTTAAATGTCCAATTTAAAACTAACAAATTCGAATCAAAAGCCAATATCTTCTGACTATGTAATTATGTAGCTTAGCTAATTATGTATTTCTCTCTAAAGGTGCATCCGGGGATGGAGATTTGTTTTTAGGAGAAACTGATTTAGAAAACAATAGTTTATTAATAAACAATTAATGCCTCGTTATTTTATATTATTTTATAATCAGACACATTTATTATATCTTATAAATCATCTATAAATCCCCTTTCTGTAGGCTGTGGTTACGGCTCTTCTCATTCAGCACTGCGGGGGAAATATAATTTCCAGGTTCTAATTTGGCCTCAGAAAACCAGTAAAATCTTTTTTTTTTTCCATATTCATTTGTCAAATATTTTAAATGTTTAAAGGGGCAAAAAAATCAAACAAATATCTGAAAATTCGTCGATATATAGCCTATATATTTTTGCGCAGCATTTGACCTAGTCCTACAGTTCAAATGAACATTTTGGTGTTAAACTCTGCGTTTTACAAAATACAACAACCGTTCATTTTTCGTTTTGCAATTAGGCCTACGGATTAAACAGGCTAAGGGGAAACGGTAACACTTTACAATAAGGTTCATTAGTTAACATTAGTTCATGTATTTACTAACATGCACTAACCATGAGCAATACATTTGTTACGGCATTTGTTCATCTTTGTTGATGTTAGTTCATGAAAATACAGCTGTTCATTGTTTGTTCATGTTAGTTCACGGTGCATTAACTAATGTTAACAAGATTTTAATCAAGTATTAGTAAATGTTGAAAATAACATTAACAAAGATTAACAAATGCTGTATAGGTGCTATTCATTATTAGTTCATATTAACTAATGCAGTTAACTAATGTTAACTAACGAACCTTATTGTAAAGTGTTACCGGGGAAACAAATGAACACAACAGTACACTGACCGTTTGGACATACGAGGCAGAGTTCTTTTTTAAAATTCATAAAAGATAGGCTACAAGGAATAGCCTACTAGACAAAACCTCAAAGAAATGCCACAATCAAGACCGCGGAGCAGAAATGAGGGAGAAACACAGAAACTCTGCGACTTTCCCTGCCATTAATACTTGGATGACACACCACGTCTCCTTCCATAAGTAATAATAATGTCTAGTGCGGTGGCTGTGATATACTACCAACGTCCGTTGCATTATTTTTGGAATGGCTTATCGCGAAAGGAAAAAAAAATGTTTTAGTCGCATAACACCGTTAATAGAAACGCTGTCATTTCACAATATTTTTTTTATCGACAATCAGAAAAAAAAACGCAAAAGTTTTGTGCAAATATGTATTGACGCCACTTAACTGAGCAAAAAGGTTTCACTCAGTTATGCAATTTTAAACGGTTACTGCTAATCGGTTAACCATGGACACCCCTACTGCAAACTGGAGCGAAGCAGAGACCAGGAGCTCCTCACTATCCGTACTGAAGCTGAGATCGTTCACCAGTGCGTGTACGGTATGCGCGTTTACATGTTTTTGACGCGTCCGTTATACGTCTCATCCTGACGTCATGTGTCTTCCCGGGATTTTTACGGGTTGTGTGTGAACACACACACAGATCCCGGCAAATCACTGGCAGTGTGAATGAACCGAAATCAGACAATTCCGGGACAAATGCTGGGTCACATTATCCGTGTATTTTCTGGAATCTCTGTGTGAAAGGGGCTTTAGTGAAAAAAATTAGGAGTCCTAAATTTAGGAGTGACACGCCCATTATTTTTAGGAGTCGCTCCTAAATTCGCCAGTTAGGATCTACTTTTAGCCTTAAAATTCTTTGCGAATACAGCCAATATCAATATATAGATGGAAAACACTTTGATTCGGCTTAAAAATTCATCTCACATGAAAATAAAATTGATCGTTCCAAACCCATCTGACTTTCAATCACCTTCAGAACACAAATTAAATTAAAGCTGCAAGCAGCGATGGGCGGGCCCTCGCACCTGTTGCACGTTGGGGTATGAGGCGGCCGTGTTGCATATTATGGAGCTCAGCCGATGCGGCTATGAATCTGCTACGCATCCAAATCACCCAAAAATTGACGTAAAATTCAAAATGACCGACTTCCTCTTGGGTTTCGGGCATTATTCCAAGAGGCTTTTTTGAACGTCTGGACATGATCCATGTACTACAGAAATGTCGGTCAAACATGTGGCGGGGGCTGCTTCGTTAAAGGTCACTTCCTGTTGCCAGCAGGTGGCGCTATGACTGTGGGTGAATGTCGGCATGAAAATTTGTTGAGGGCGGGACTCTTGTCAAATGTGTAAAATTTCGTGCAGATCTGGGCATTTACAGTCAAGTTAATACAACTTCCTGTTTCATGGCGACGCCACGGACACGTCCATCGACGAAAACGCGCAGATAGCACAACTTTACATCATCAATGCCTGTAGAAGGCACAGCAGAAATTTGAAGTCGATCCGACCAAATCCCTAGGAGGAGTTTGTTAAAGTACGAAGTATGTTAATCGTCCCAAAATGGCTGCCAAATTAAAAATGGTGGACATCCTGTCGAGTTTAGGGTATGGGTTCTTGAGGCTTTTTTGTGCGTGCGGATATGATACACGTCCCCACCAAATTTCGTGCATATAGGTTGAACGTGGACGAGGGGCTAATTTTTTCCAATTTTCTAGGTGGCGCTAGGGAGCCATTTTG